AATCAATTTGAAATTTGTTAGTGTTTGTAAATATGTTTTCTGAACAAGGATAGGGTAAAAGTAGAAATGGACAATGAATACATGCCAATACCGAGTTCTTGTCTTCGGAGGGCCAATCTATACTCTAATGAGCAACATATTTATATCCTCAGTCTTGTGGCTAATGAGGGTATATACACTTTGATACGACAAAAATGTGCCTAATAGAAATATTGGGTTTAGACCTAAAGTTTTTTAGGACCAGATTCGTTTCAGAAAATATGTCCGTCCGTCTGTCTATCTGGCGGGGTGGTGCGCACCATAACTCTCGAAAGGAGTAACCGATTTCATCCAAACCGATTTAAATCAAATTTTGTACAACCTATTATCTTTATCAAGCCAAGATCAAGTCCAAAGATGGGACCCATTGATCAACTTCTTCCGGTACCTCTTCCATAAAGGGTCAAAATTTTTTAATATTTATAAATCCAATTTTTTTCAATACTTATAAATCCAATATAGGACGAAAGGAATGTCCGATTTAAACCAAACTTTGCACAATCTAACATCTTTAACAAGACTAGATCAATTTCGAAGGCCAATATTTTATAATCTTGAAAGTTTAATTTGAAGCGAATTGAATAACCGATTTGATCAACATTAAATCCGAAACCTTTCAGATAAAAAAATATACCTTATATAAAGAGAATAATGAAACCTGTGGGTAATTCCGAAGATGGCATGGTAATTTTTAGATTGGATGGTATTCTTTATTTTTTCATTGGCTATCATTAAAAAAGAAAGTTCTTCTTTCAACAGAAACTAGTACACAGTGTAAATAGACAGATCTAAATTTCTGAAAAGAAGATTCATTTCAAGATAAAGAAATATCTGCATTTAAAGGAAAAAATAGAAATCAATAGTTGGTCTTCGAATCTACAGTATTCTCCGAAATGAATTCTTATTTGCTACCACAGTGTTAATGGAATCGCCCCCTGGTATCACACACGTAGGGAACTAGATTAAATAAAAAAATTTAAAACTGTGATTACTATGTCAGTTCAAATACATTATAACCCACAAAACAAACCGAGTACATTGAAAATTCAGACTCTTCTATATTAAATAAACTTTAAATCAGTCGGATAGTAAATTGGGCAAATGTTGATAATTTCCTTAAATTTTGCGAAAATATCAAATCACTGAAAATAAAAATAAATTTTTCGATCAGAACTTACCTCTTCATCACCATCCCAGTTATAGTAAAACTGTTGATTTGGATTCATATATTTTTTGAGCAATTCTTTGGCCACTCGCACAGACATTTCACCCTGAACGAACGGATGCTGGAGTAGTCTTTCGGCTGTGGGACGTTTTTTAGGATTCTTTGTTAAAGCTGTTTTTACAAAATTATGAAATGTAGGACTCCATTTCTCTTTATTACTGAGAGTTGGAGGTTTGAAACCACTTTTTGACATCAGGAACAAAGCACGCATTGGATGTAAATCGAACATAGGTGGTTGCAGTTCAGCCAATTCTGGAAACAAATATTAGAAAAACAAAAAATAATCAATACAAAATCAAAGTACAAATATATAAATTATTTATATAGACCACAAAGTAAATCACATAAAACAAAATAAAAATAGAATTTATGTTCAACCAAACTTTATGAGACCCTACATAATTCTGAAAAAACCACAACATTTAGACGCTTTTTTGTGGCTTTCTTCCAAGAACCGAACGACCGACCTAACATTCACATAATTGGCCAATTGTTCAATTTAACCTTTATGAACCTAATGAATAAATTCATGGAATAGCCATCATAATTCAGTTCAGCTGTCAGTTTCATTTTATTTGGTTTCTGTTCGTTTTTTCTTTTTTTGGGTTTTGACCATAAAAATCCATAGAATTTTTTAAGGCTAATAACAATTTCCAGCTTTCAGCAACTCTCTTGTCATCATCCATGTTTAATTTCTTTGTGTTAAGCTCAGTTGTAATGATGCTGGTTGGTTGTGGTAGTAGTGGTATTGGTGGGTTTTTCTAGTGGTGTTGGTGTTGATGGTACATACGGTTGATGTGTTTTTTCTCCTCCTTAATAGGCTACTATTGTTCTTAGCCGTAATTGGATACTTCTAACAACAAAGTGTACTTGTGTAAAATATAAATCATTAGAAGTGACGGTTTAAATTTTTGGGAGAAAGCGAGAGGAAAGTCATAATTTTTGGTGTTCCAACAAAATTAAAAGAAAAAATACTATTTCAAAAATTTATTATGAAGGCATATAAATATAATATTTTATTCTTGAAGATAATAAATGTGAGAAAGGTAATGTAATTGATAGTCGCAACGTTTGTCAAAATTATTACAACCTTTCAAAAGCTAATTGTATAAATAATAAATTAGTCCATATAATGAATTAATAATATGAATATAATTATTTGAAATATTGTATCTGAAATAATACACCACCACCACATAACCAATAATAGGACATACACTTATGTCAGAGAAAGACCGGCTGTGTACTCTCTGGAATAGAAATAAAGCTAGGAATTCTGTGCCCTTGTTGTATTCCTTCAGTCTTTTCCATTTCCCAAGTATTAAATACAAAGGCTTGCAAAAACTAAAATCTTCAATAGTTCTTAAGAAATTTACATTATAAAATTATATATAACTAGCGGACCCGGCAAACGTTGTCTTGCCTAACAATATTGTTGATGTATAATTTTCGGCATTTTAGGTTGTTTTTATACCCACCATCATAAGGTGATTTGTATATATTTTTGTAACATCTTGGTATTTATCAGAGCACACATAGGGTAACATTACAAAACTGAATTTGATGTTTATGAGTGAGTTTTGTTGCTCCCTCCACGATTTAAGATATAAATTTTATATTTGCACATAAATTTGTATTACTCATAAGATGGCTTAGCGTTGTCCTGGTGAAACACGACACCTCCCCTGTTGGCCAATTCTGGTCAATTGCTATCTTCAAACGGTACAGTTGTTGGCAGTAGAGATCAGAATTTAGCGTTTGGCCATATGAAAGCAACTCATAATAAACAATCCCCTTCCAGTCCCACCAAATGCATAGCCGAACCTTCCTGGCCGTTAGTCCTGGTTTGGTCACCGTTTGAGGTGCTTCACCGCTCTTTGACCACAATCGTTTTTGCATAGGGTTATCGTATGTGATCCATTTCTCATTTCCAGTCACCACCCGTTTATAAAAAAATCGCAGATGGAAATTCGATCCATTCCATTTTTTCTGTTAATTGGTGAGGCACCCAAACATTGAGCTTCTTTTTGAATCCAGCTTTGTGTGAATGGTTTAATTTTTAGCTCCTGGACGATGTTACGACATACCTGTAAAATTCGATCGTTCCACCGGTCTAATGGATTTCTTTTTCCCAAACCTAATATTAGGGATACTTATTGGGCAGAAATTCTCCCTAATTAGAATTTTCCATATAGACTCAAGTATTCGGATATCCCCATTTAACGGCATCCCTTAATATCCGGTATTTAGCTGCAATGTTATGTTCGTCCAAGCTTTCAAATATCCCCATGTAATAGTAATCCACCTTTTTCGATACTGTGGGGGATTTGGGCACGTTTGGTTGTGTATTCGGTAGAATGAATCGTACTGAAATTGTCAATATTGGTTAAATCTTTAGGGTACCCACCATATTCGGTACTTTGAGGAGTTCGGTATTTTAGGGAGTGTTTCAGCCGAAGTGCTGTATTGTTTTATTTTGGATGAAGAAAACCTGTTTACAAAAAATTATCAATATTGGTGCAAATTGGTCCGGGTAGCCCCATATATTGATATACATATAATGATATACTCTTATTGTTCGGTATTTTCTCATGTGCTATTAGTATATTTCCATAACCATTGTAGTATCGTATGTCATTCATATCACATATCATTCCGTGATATTGAAAGGGTAAAACACATTTGCGGAAACAATTCTATTCAGGACCAAATTTTGTATAGCACCTACATACGGGTCCCACGCCATTTTCGGTTTTGTAAAGAATTTGACGGAATGGATGGATCAAGGATTTGGCTTAATGTAATAAAAAGGCGCCATACATATTTCCCGTTTAATTTTCAGTATGTTGAAGTTCTTACCCCCCGTTTTCCAATCTACTACACATACTGTGTAACATAGTCCCCATATAAATGTCCCGGCCGATTTAAAGAATCTACATATTAGAAAGTACAAAAGTTCGATCTTAACAACGATTTTTCATGGTATTAAATATATCGGTAGTTGACATATTGAGGTAACATCATGAGACTCTTTGTTATAACAAATGCTTTTTATAGTTGTTCTCTTTCAATATGAATTTAATTTTCTCTGTGATACACATATGCGATTAAAGACATTGACCAACGATTAGGCATATAACCACCATATAATGGTACATTTTAGGTACTTCAATAACAACATGTTCCTATGTTCCTATTATTATTATTATTTTCAAGAAGAATAATCTAGGGCATGTGTATTAGAATCAGAACTCTTTTCTGAATCTTCAGATTTTCATCCTTGCATTTGTCCCAAAATGTACGTGAATTTCATGGAAGACGTGTACATACAATGATCGCGTATGCTTCTCAATTATTGTTTTGCATTTTCAGAAAAAAAGTTTCATTACAATGTCAATTGAATAAAATAAAATATTTTGAAAATTTTCAATATTTGACAAATGAATATTTGTTTTCAAAATATTTTTTTTTTCATAATATTTTTTTTTTTGCAAATTTTTCGCGGTTTTCGAATTTTTCTCACCTTTTAAACCTTCCCTGAAGCTCCACGAACATTTCAAGACTAAGATCAGAAAAATCCGTTCAGCCGTTCTCGAGTTTTAGCGAGACTAACGAACAGCAATTCATTTTTATATATATAGATAGAAGATAAAACAATTTTTTGCAAATATATATAGTTTGTTCTGAGACTTGAAGTGGATTTTGACGTAGAATATTTTATTCTAAAATTAATTTTTATGTTATTTTAATCCACTTAGTCAAAAGAAATACTGAGAAATGTCTTTGAAAAAAAAAAAATTTTTTTAATTTTTATACCCTACACAACTATGTTGTCAGGGTATTATAGCTTTGTGCAGCCCCAAATGTTTGTAACGCCGCGAAATATTGGTCCTAGACATACCTTTAAGTATACCGATCGTCATATCTCGACTAGCTGAATCGATCAAGACATGTGTGTCCGTCCGTCCGTCTGTCCATTATAATTTGTAAACACGATACAGGCCACAGTTATGAACCAATCTTCACGAAATTTTGCATTTAGGATGGGATCTGGCCAATGAAGACCCCTATTGTTTTTGGAAAAGATCGGTTAATATTTAGGGGATGAAATGGACCAAAAACTTTATTTTTGTCGGTTTTTCTGGTCGCTCCAGAGGCCGCAATTATGGCCCAAACACTGCGAATTTTTGCATGGAGAAGGGGATCGGGCCAGAGAATAAGCATGCATGTTTTGATAAAAATCGGTCAATATTTAGCGGGTCAAATGGACCCTGACTTTTGTGTGAAAAATGACAAAATTTGTATTCTATGGCATATATATTTACTCCTGGAGGATGTAGACCCGAGGAGATGATAGCATATTCAAGAGGAGTGGTTGGCCTTTAAATTGATACCAAATATAGTGATGTATCTACTCAGATGTGGGAGTTACAGTCAAATATTTACAGGTGCTTACGTATTCAGATATTATTTAGTATTTAGGGGGAAATATCACGCTGATGGCTTTGAAATTTTTCATGAAGTTCCAGTTATGGTCAAGAACAACGCCTACAATTTTCGGCGATGATCAGATTAAAATTTTGGGATGAAATGGACCGAAAACTTAATTTTTTGTGTGTTTTCGAGTCGAGTATAATCCGAAAATCACAGCACAACCCACCGTGAAGGTAATCTGGACAAGTAATTAGAAGGACTGTACTGAATATCCAAAAAAAGTAAGGAAGAGGTGTTGTTGATCTCTAATCGGACAAGAGGGGGCAAATATCACGAAATATTACTCAGACTCGGAATAAACATCCTCAGAAAGTTAGAGTTCGTGGTAGTTGTGTAGGGTATCGTATGGTCGGCCCCGTCCGACTATACTGCTCCGCTCACTGGTTGTATTTTGAATTTTTTTGAGGTTTAGGCTGATTTTTGAGTTTTTGTATATTCTGAGACTTATAGTAAAACATTATGGCGAACAATAGAATATTCTGAGCAGTTTTAACCCGGTTTTGAGTGAGTTTTCAATCACTCCTGGAAAAGGCGGACGAAAAGTTGAGGTTGAGGGTTAAAGTTGCTCGATATTTTATCAGTAATATTGCCGATTTATTATAATGCTATGCCTATTTGAGGACCGAAAAGGCTTAATTTCGAAACTTTCATTTTCGTTTCGTATCACAATAGCTTCTTTCACGTTAGATATTAAAAATATCAAAATTCGGTAGGTATCATTATATATAGTTCATTTATCCCTATATCCTCCGAAGATTACAACAGATGGCTAAATCGATGGCTAGTCGATTATATGGGGGCCACTTCCTAAAGGGGGCGACTATCAATACTTTTTAGGAGGGAGATTTGTTATCAAATCCGAATACAAAATACCAAATTACACCGAAGTCGCTCAAAAACGCCAAAATACCAAAAATTGAGGTACCTTTAAATGGCGGCTACCAGAAAGAGTGGACCTAGATTTATAACTTTTAGTGGAGCGATTTTCTACCCAATAAGAACTCAAAGCACTAAATTACAACAGAAAATTGGGGGTAACCTTTTATATATAGGGTAGCCCCCTATTATTAATTTATAGTGGAGAGTTTTGGTATTGGGGGTAATCTCATAGGAGGACTACCTGAAAAAGTGGATCTATATTTATAATTTTTAGGGTAGGGATTTGGTACCCAATAAGAATCCTAAGTACCAAATTTCAGCGAGCTCAAAACCCCTAAAATGCGGAAAATTGGGGAGTACCGAAAAATTGGGCTACCCGAAAAGGTGGACATATATTAGGTTGGGGAAAATCCATTATGAAGTCGTAACATCACCCAGAAGCTAAAAATCGTCAATGAAACTGTTTTAAACCATTTACACAAAGTTGGATTCAAAAAAGTATCTCGATGGTTGGGTGAAACATTTCCATCTGCGAAGCCTTGGCTAAAGGGAATGTGATATATCCATTTCTTAAACGGATGGTGACTGGAGATGAGAAATGGATCACATACGATAACACTGTGCGAAAACAATAGTGGCCAAAGAGCGGTGAAGCACCATAAACGGTGGCCAAACCAGGACTAATGACCAGGAAGGTTCTGCTATGCATTTGGAGGGGCTGGAAAGGGATTAATGAGTTCCTTCCATATACAACTGTCAACAACTGGAACGTTTGAAGATATCAATTGACCAGACACGGTCAGAATTGGCAAACAGGAGAGGTGTCGTGTTCCACCAGGACAACGCTAGGCCACTCGCCAGAAACTTCGGGAGCGGTTAGGAAATTTTAATGCATCCGCCATACATTTGCAAAATTTCTTTAAGGAAAAATTGGTATCTAGGGAGGATTGTGAAAATTGACTACTAGAGTTTTTTATGCAAATATAGAGCAGGACTTCTATGAGAAAGACATTATGAGGTTACCTTTAAAATGGCAACAAATCATACAACAAAACGGTGCATATTTGCCCCAAATCGGTCATTCCGAAGCATGATGATGATGGAATATGTTCTCAAGCACTGCTCCTTTTTAAGGTGAGATGCTTTTCACGGCATTTCATCGGTCCACTCCTTCTTGTACCTTCTCCACAGAGTATCAATATTTTGAAAATTTGTAATATATCAACAACAAGCGTTTTTTAACAGACCGAAGATGGGCTCTATGGATCTACTTCCTCTGATACCTCCTCACAATTGGTCACTCATCTCATTGCGTACATAGATAATAAATTTACGTGTTTATACAAACCCTTCAGCCTAGGAAATTTCCGATCTTGCAACTCCTTTCAAGCACTACTGTCAGATTAGAAAACAAAATTTGTTTATAGTTTTTTTATGCTCTTAAACAATTTCTTTTGAAACATATTTCTTGGTTTTTTAATTCTATTTCAATTTATATCATTGAATATACATTAAAGCCTTATTCAATACATTTGTGTTTTATTCACTAATTTCTTTAAATTACCTGCCAAGTTTCGTATACAAATATACTTTAATATTTTTTCTTTAAAAATTACTTTAAATTTTCACATTAAAAAAAAAATTACAAAACAATATATCATAAAGCAAAAAATCTCAACAATTTATTCTCATTCTTTCTTTAAAAAAAGTGAACAACAATAAATAATGTAGCCATTCTAATTTATGTGAATGTTTTGTGGTCAGCTGAACATAAATTTCATTTAATATACTTAGCGATTAAGGAGAACAAACAAACAAACAACAACGACGACGTCGTGGTGAACTTACCTATTGCTGTAATACCACAAGCCCAAATATCACATAATTGATTGTAGCCACCCTTGCGCTCAACAGCAGCCACTTCCGGTGCCATCCAATAGGGTGTACCTGAAATTACATGGAAAACAGAGAGAAGACATAAATTAGTAAAAGTCCAGCTTAACATAGCATAAATGTATTGTAATGCAATGTTTAGAAGGCTATTCAGAGGTGGGAAAGACGACTTTAGGGGGTGGAGGAAGTTAGAGGTAAATTGGCATAATGAAATACAGCTGAAAAATACATGAAATTATAAAACAATTAAAATTAATTAAATCTGTTGTGGCTGACTGTGAAGCCAATAAAACACATGAACGCATGCATACACATACACACGCACATATGCAGCAGACGACAGCAGTTAAAATTGTCCAGTGCCAAGCTTTTGGCTCAATTATGACGACAAACGCAGGGAGAAACAAACACCTGGATGCAGGGAAAGCACATACACACAGTATGGAGTGCGTGTAGTATCTGGGTAATTATGCACACAGTTTGACCTGTGTTTATTTTATGTTAATGTATGCAAGGTACTGAGTACTACACGCACTCTCTCTCCCTCTTTGTGTATGTACTCTCCGGCAAATTGTCCTTGCAAATAAAAACCGAAAACCCCAAACATAAGCAGAAAAAAATTTGTTCATTTCCATTTTAACTTTCATTTAATTAGCATCACTGCAGTTTATTTTGTATGTGGTAGTGGTCGTAGTGGTGGTGGTGCTGCTGCTTGTGAATATATTTGTAATAATTCATTTATATGGGTAAATGTGCGAAAGTGTCTGTGTGTGCATGTGTTACTACAATAATATATATTTACACATTTGTAAATTTGTTCTCTCTGTCGTTGTCACTTTTTTTTTGACATCTTCCTTGTGTGTGTATGTGTGCGCATGTTTGTGTACTGAATACTGATGATATCGTGGTGTGTATGTGACAGACGCCTTTGTGTGTGTGTGCGTGCGTTGTTAATTAAATCATTTTCAAAATGAAAAATTCATGCATATATTATGTTTGTCGTATTGTATATATCATTAACGCAAACATATTTACATACATACATGATTTCGCACATTTTGTCTGTGGCCCAGGCTCAGTTTTATTTTAGGTTTATCCCAATTGGTTTTTAGGCCATGGATTTATTTGTTCGTGATTCAATATTTGTGGCGGTGTCAAATTTTGCATAATGCCAAAAGCCACCTTGAACTAACATTTATTTTGACCACGTTTCAATAGCAGTCATTGCGGCCGAACACAATTTAATTTGCTCCATACCAATTATTTTATAATCTTCATAGTTCAGAAAACTACTAAGGGGAATATTTAAGGGCGACTTTAAAGCGACCAGAAAAACAAACGAAAATTAAGTTGGTGGTCCATTTCGTCCTCTAAATATAAACGGAGTATTAAAAAACAATTGGGGTCTTCCTTGGCCAGTACCCGTCCTAAAATCGCAAAACGCAAACATGTGAAGCGGTATTGACGATGCATGGTAGGGTGGAACATGTGTATAAAACCACAAAATACTGCAATTTAGAGAAGAAAATTATATGAGGCTAGAAGATTTTATTTCGGGGTGTGTGGAAGCTGGTGATTCCATTTTCATTACAGAAAAAAATTATTATGTGTATGTCCTTGGAGGCTATACCTAAAACAGGACCAAAACTAATTGCTACGTGTAGGAATTACTGAACATTTGGAGTTATCATTATATACCGAAAATCGATTGGTGTAATGATATGGAGGCTAGTCCTAAATGCACATTCTCGAACCTGACGTTCTATTTATACCCTTCACCACACTGTGGTACAGGGTATTATGTCTTTGTGCATATGTTTGTAACAGGCAAAAGGAAACGAGATAGACACCTGGTTCCTTTTGAGAATATGCATAGAATCACATTCTAAGTCGATTTATGCATGTCCGTCCATCCGTCTGTCTGTCTGTGCATGTTAAATTGTAAACAAAGTACAGGTCGCATTTATGATCCGAATTGGATGAAATTTGTCGTAGGTCACTTATTCGGCCCAAGGACGAACCCTATTGAAATTGGGAAAAATCGGTTCAGATTTAGATATAGCTCCCATATATATATTTAACCGATTTAATGTAAACGGTCCCTATATATCTTTCGATTTGCACGAATTTGGTACAGCCTAATAATTTAGGTCTAGAATGATGTCTGCCAAGTTTCGTGAAAATCGGTCCAGATTTAGATATAGCTCCCATATATAGTTTCGTCCGATTTATGGTAAATGGTGCCCCAAAGTCCCTATATATCTTTTGATTTGCACGAAATTTGGTATAACGTGCTGAATTAAGCCTAGAGTGATGTATGCCAAGTTTGGAGAAAATCGGTCCAGATTTATATACAGCTCCCACATATAGTTTCGTCCGATTTCATGTAAATGGTGCCCCAAAGTCCCTATATATCTTTCGATTTGCACGAAATTTGGCATAACGTACTGAATTAAGCCTAGAATGATGTCTGCCAAGTTTCGAGAAAATCGGCCCAGATTTAGATATAGCTCCCATATATAGTTTCGTCCGATTTCATGTAAATGGTGCCCAAAGTCCCTATATATCTTTTGATTTGCACGAAATTTGGCATAACGTACTGAATTAAGCCTAGAGTGATGTCTGCCAATTTTATGTTATAGTCCTGTTTAATATACCCATAGTGGTGAAGGGTATCATATAGTCGGCCCCGTCCGACTTTACTACTTTCCTTACTGGTTTTTATCACGTTATTCTCCGAAGGTAGAATTCTAAGTCGTCTTAGAATTTCATACTTTCGAGTACAGAATATTCCCCCTACTATGGTGGAATACAAAACACGGAACAAATCAGAATACTATTTAGTTAAGAAAGGGGGTGATATGGGAACTACCCAGAAAAGGGGCGAATATTATTAATTTTTGGGAGGGAGATTTGCTACCATATACGTCTACAAAATACCAAATTACAGTGAATTCGGTTACCCAATAAGAACTCAAAGTACTAAATTTCAGCAAATTCGGATGCAAAATACATTCAAAGCCCCCAAATACTGAAAATTGAAGGGGACAACCAGAAAAAATTGACATATTTTCATAATTTTAGTGGAGAAATTTGGTACCCAATAAGAACCCAATATACTAAATTTCAGCGAATTTGATTGAAAACTCAAATACGGAAAATGGGGGGTTACACTTATATGGGAACTATGCCTTACATAGGCCAATATATCCCATCATCGAAGACAACTCTATTCAAATTTTTGGCGATATATCTCAATGCGTTTAGAGGCTACAGTGATTACAACAGGCAGACGGATAGGCAGACCGACACACGGATATGTTTAAATCGCCATAGAATTTTACGCTGATCATGAATATATATATATATATATATATATATATATGTGGGGTTCGGAAATGATTATTTCGATGAGTTACCAACGGAAAATCAAACATAATATACCTTCCATACTGTGGTGGAGAGTATAAAAATTTGTACCGATTTCTAAAAAACTTAACATGCCTTATTGTAAACACATTTCAGTAATCTGTGCAAAATTGTATGCCATTCGGGCATACCTTGGGATTTTGGTGCACCAATTACATAAAATCGGACGAAAATATATATGGAAGCTATATCTAAATCTGAACCGATTTCAACAAAATGTCACGTACGTTGTTCTATACTTAATTGAGTACGCTGTGCACAATTTAGTAGCAATCGGATAAAGCGTATAAGTTTGGTGCACGATTTATATAAAATCGGACGAAAATATATATGAGAGCTATATCTAAATCAGGACCGATTTTCTTTAATTTTAATAGGGTTCGTCCTTGGACCAAATAAGTGACCTCAGACAAATTTTATTCAAATTGGATCATTAATGCGATCTGTACTTTGTTTACAATTTAACATGAACAGACGGACGGACATCCACAAATCGACTCAGAAAGCGATATTATTCATATTTTCAAAACGAACATGGGCCTATCTCGTTTCCTTTTGCATGTTACAAACATATGCACAAAGACATGTACCACAGTGTGGTGAAGGGTATAATGAAATAAATATTTAATGCTGTTGATATAAAGTTTACTTGATATCAAATTTACTTCAGTTATACAATTGGCCTCCCTGCACAAATGACCAATACCAACATTAATCAATTTTATTAAATAACTTTATTTGGTTACGATACAAATAATACCACAAATAATTGCCCTATCGAAATTATGATATTATTTAAACAATTGCCCTTTTTAATAATTTAATCAAAAATTAATAACATTATTATTATTACACAACTGACGTGTTAGTAGCAAACATAATACAATTCTCAGTACACCGGTGAGTATGAGTAATTTCATTTTACTACAACTGTGTTGAATGTCACTCATACGTACAATGGGCCCATAAATGTGAAGTCATGTCATCCCAAACAAATTCATCTTCTTCTACCCAGGATATTTGAGCTCATAAAATGTTTGTATACTTCTTATTTGTAGGCGAGCTTTATTGCTGCCATTGACAACAATAAAATATAGAACTTATTATTTGCTTCACACATCAAAAGCCTACTGCAGTGGTTTGGTGAGAAATTGTGGTAGGACATGTGGAATTTTATTTGGTAAGTTGTGTGGCAAATGAGGTTATTTTTTCCTTCTTTCTTTATTAAATATATTTACGTATTCCACAAAACATGTGAATTAGAATTGATGTCTGGCTGCGTTAAGTGACGTGTAAAAGAAGAAGAAGATGGTGAATTAATAGCTACTTATTGAAGACATGTGCAGACAACACTTGATTGGAATTTTGAGAGAATTTTGTGGTTTAGACATCATGACATGTGCAGACTTTAAATGATGTTTAATTGATTTCGGAGTACACATTTTAAATGTAATTAAGAAATACGAAAAAGACAAAATACGAATTTTAGAAAATATAAAATTTAGTGAAGAGTAAACGTTATGTGTTGAGTCTAAATGAAATCCCAATTAAAACGATCAAATTGTGGCATACATTTAAATTTTATTATGAAATATAATATTAATTTAATCAGAAATCCTTCAAGT